AAAATTAATATATACTTTTCTCATAAAATAATTGATATTTTTACTTAATAGATTAAAAATAAATCTCTAAATTAATGATTTTCAAATACCATAATTAAATGACTAACTATTTAAGGAAAAAATTTATAATTTGTGTTGCCATAACATTGTTTTGTGTGGTGGTAACCACATCCACCATGACAAGGGTCTAACCAGTTGTTACTTCAACCCCAGATGTCTCAAAGTTTTCAGGATGTCCTGGGGTTCTGCTTCCCCACTGACGGAAATTCTTCAAGTCTTCCTCCTAATAAACACAATAGAAAAGGCAATTATCTGTTATTTACATTTTAATACAGAATTCAATTGGTACTGCAACAATTCACTTTCATTTCCATGACTAGGAAAGAAATTCCTGTTAGAGATAGCAGGAAATGATTATTCTAAAACACTATCAAACACTTTTAGATTTTTATTTTTTTTAAAAAAAGAAAACTTCATTTTGTCTGAAGGGACCACATATCTTTTCTCGGATTGAAATTGAACCTGACCCACGATTTTTTTTTTTATTAATTAATAAGCAGAGGGAAAGGTAACATCAAAAAGTGTACGTTGGTATTTGAAATGTTCAAATTTTTGTGAAAATTTTTCAAAATGTTAATATTTACTTACAGAATTATTATGTATATCATTTACATAAAATTTTTATTATTTATCTATTTATTATAAATAATTGAAATTTATTATAGGCTTTTAATAAAAAATATAATAAAAAATATAATAAAAGATTAATAAATCTTAACTATTCATAATATAAAGATAATAAAAAATTTTGTATAAATGACATATGTAAGTAGATGTTAATTAACCTTTTTTCAAATACTCTAAATAATGTTGATTTATTAAATATATTTTAATCTTTTTATTATCAAATGACATTGTTATTCTATATTTTCCTTTTGTTACTCATTAAGCTTTTATTGAATTAACAATCTTAAACTTTTTTTTAAATTGATATAAAAGTAAAGAGATAAATAAACCTTATGGTTATGATCATCATTCAATTTATTAAAACCACAAGTAATTGTTAAAATTTTATTTTAATTTAACTATTAAAAATAATTAATAACTAATAAAATTGTTTATATTTATTATTTAATAGAGTAAAATTAATTTATAAATAATATTTTTAAATATTATAATTAATTATTTAAAAAATTATAAATTAATAAAATTATAATTAAATTAATAATCATAACAAATTTAATACTAACAATAACCTAGCCTCCTCCTATACCCTTCTTGCCTTTTTTTTCGAAATCCTTTTTCATCTAATGAGGGAAAGTAAAGACAATTTTTGAGTCATGTGCATTTACGTGGCAGTTTACTTTGTTCCACGTATAGTGCTGATGTAACTTGCAACTTTAATGAGTAAAGGTGCAAATAAGGATTTCAACTTTGCATTTTTTTCTATTTAAGAATGTTAACTTTGATAGTTTCTAAATAAGGATGTTAATTTTCAATTTTTTTTCTAAATAAGGATGTTAACTTTGTCAGTTTCTAAATAAGGATTTTAACTTTCAACCTTTTTCTATTTAAGGATGTCAACTTTCAATTTTTTTATTTAAGGATTAATTGAATAGTGATGTTGACGTGGCTAATATATTTTTTAGGTTAAATACTTGAATTGGTCCCTCAACTTTTATTTTTGAACTAATTCATCATT